AGGAAAGACTACGAGGCAGGGGTGAGGGGAGTACAAATGCCTATAGACAAGGCACACTTTGTCACGTTTGAGGAAAATTAAGATAGTGGCTGTGAGAAGCACCCTTTGGTGTAAAGGGCATAAAAGAACAGGGTTTGGATCCCAGCTGCTGTGTGGGCCTGCGCAGGGCTCCTAGGCTTTTCCAGCATGGATTTCCTTTGTGTGAAGGATGGATGCCATTGCTTAGTGGGACTATGGTGTGTGAAGCGCAGGTCTTGGGGGGCCTTCATGTAACAGTAACTACTGTTACTCAAAGACTTTGATGTAAAGATGATCATCAACACCTTTGACAGATCCTCCTCTGGACCTGGCTTTAGGGTTTCGAATGCACAAGACCCAGTTGACATCCTCAGCAGTCCAGTGGAGTAAAAAAAACTTAGAAGGTGACGCCATGGGGTGCCCAGCAGAGCTGAAGAGTGAGTGATGGGGAGAGGAGGAGAAAGGGTGAAGAGCTGGGGGCATTCTGGACAAGGAGAAAAAGGAACGGGAGTGTACACAGGGATGGAGGGAGCTGAGATAAGCCTCTTCCTGGCCCTGGCCCCCAACAAGATCGTGAAAAGTCACTATTACTAGTTACTGTTCTATTTGTGGACTGGTAGCCTTAGTATAGCTGGTTAGTCATGAACTCTTGAGCAGTGAGGGAGAGATGGTTTACCCTGGAAGGGAAGCAGCAGAGACAACATCAGAGAAGAAAACTAAGGAGGAAGAAAACAGCAACTCCCATCAGCCTTTCCTACATACTGTACCTAATCACTTGTGGACCTAATCAATTAAAAAGAGGAAATTAAGGCCCAGAAGGACTAAGCACCTTGCCCAAAGGCTTGGTGAATTTATATAACAACCCACTTAAATAGTTGCAAGTGAGGGGACTAAATTGCTTAAAACCCCACCCCAGATCATTCAGTTGGTGGATTGAAACCAGTACTTGGAGCTGCAGTTGATAGAGATTATTTTGTGTAGCTCCATGCAGATGAGTGGGTCATTCGGTCCCAGCTGTGCCCCATGAGTTGAGGATCTATTTCCAACTCTGCCAGCTGGTAAACTTAAGAGGTTTCACTCTTTGTGAAGTGGGGTGAATACTTGCTGGCACAGACCGAGGTTGGGGGATGGTCCAGAGGATCAGAGATTTAGAGGACTTCAGTGCCTAGAAGGACACCACTGGCTTCCAGGCTTGTGACCCATCTCGTTGCATAGCACCCAGTGGGTGCTTCACGAGTACCCTGCAGAATGTGTGTTGTCCTGAAGGGCTGCTAACAGCAGGGAGAGCCAGACTGCAGATCCACGCAGCCTCAGCACCACAGTGATCAGCAGAGTTCCCCACATCCAAACCTACAGAGGCTCTAAAACTTAAAACGGTAAGAGTTAATATTTTTGAGTGAGCATTCAGTTCAAGATTTTGAGAAATTGCCCTGGTGCCCCCAAGAATAAGAGGAGGAACAAAGTACATGATCAGGATTAAAGGAGAAATAAGGGAGATGGAGTGGAATAAAAAGAATCTACAGTTAATTTTCTTCAGAGATAAAGTACTAAATAATCTCTGTGATTAACCAAGGAGTTAAAAAACAAGTTTTAGAAATGAGAAAGCTGGGAAGCATTGTGGAGAATAAAAAAAAATTTTAAGTGTCATGCATGATTATTGCCGTGGCCCAGCAAGGAGCCACTAGGGAGCGCTACCTCCCCTCGGGATTCCCCCTGGGAATTCAGGAACGTGCCATCCCTGGCTTCCTGAATTACTCGGAAATCTCAAGCTCTAAGAGCTCTAATTGATAGGGAATACGTGAACTTTGCTTTCAAATCGAGAGTGGGGGGAGGGGTGAGCCCCCAGAAGTCCTAAGGAATAGGAAGGGAATTAAATGCCAAATACAACGGCAGGGGGGCGCCTGGGTGGCTCAGTCGGTTGAGCCGCTGCCTTCGGCTCAGGTCAGGATCCTGGAGTCCCGGGATCGAGTCCCGCATCGGGCTCCCTGCTCGGCGGGGAGCCTGCTTCTCCCTCTGACCCTCCCCCCTCTCATGTGCTCGCTCTCTCAAATAAATAAATAGAATCTTTAAAAACAAATGAATACAACGGCAGATACAGACGAGTTGGGAAGGGAAGCCAATGAAATGAGTACAGAAGTTTAGGGGAAGAGGTCGGAAGTGGAGATCTACGCTGTAGTCACGTTTATCAAGGAGAAAAAGTCACGTTAAACCGAGGAGAGGAGTGTGGCTGTGGCCAAGACTCAAAGGCGCGGCCCGGGGCGTGTTTTGCGAGCGCCCGAGGCCCGTCCGGGCGCCCCCCGAGCCCGAGCTGGCTCACTTGTCGGATGGCGCGCCCGCGACTTCCAGCACTCGTTAGGGTTACGAAACCGGCCGACCACATGCGAGCCGACGTTTGTAGTCAGGGGATCTGGAGGAGGGAGGAGCGGAGAGAGCCGACGGGGCCGGGGGCACGGCGGTGGCTTAGGGGTACGGGTGAGTCGCCGCCCGGGGGAAGCGCCCGCCCCGCCCCGCCCCCGCCCGGCCCCGCCCCGGCCCCCAGAAGACTTGCAGATCAGCGAGGTGGGTGCGGAAGTCCCGGCCCGCCGGCCCAGGGCGCGTCCGCCGTCGCGGGGGGTCGGGGGCGGGAACGAGAGCGGAAGAGGCCGCGGCTCAAGGCCCCGCCGCTAGCCGAGGGGCCGCCGTCCGGTCAGGGCCTGGGCCGGACCCGGAGCCTCAACCTGGCCCCGGAAGTGTGCGTCGCGGGGGTTCCTGGGAGTTGTAGTGCGTCCGTGTCGGGGGGGCGGGACGCGCTTCTGGGCCCGGCCGGAAGTTGCGGCCTGCGCTCTTCCGGATTGGGGGAGCAGGGCTTGGCTGTGGGGACTTGGGCGGTGTCGCCCCATTTCCCCGGGAGGAGGGGGACGGAGGCTTGCTTCGGTTTCCCGAACGCGAGCGGAAACGTGTGCTTGTGGCTGCGGCCTCCCCCCGAGCCGCTTCCCCGCAACGCCGAGCTTCGGGAAGCGCAGCCGCCGAGCGCCGCTTAAGAAAATGCGGGGCGGCGGGTTTCATCTGCAGGTGCTCGGAAGTCCGGGCACGGAGGGAGAAAAACCTGCGCGACTTAGGCGGGCCGCGGCTGTTCTTCCTGTCTGCGAGTTGGGGGTTTTTGTGTCTTGCTTTGTTTTTAGTAACACAGCTGCAGTGACTCCACGCCAGTAATTTCCTGCTCCGCTTTTTTGCTTCCCGTGGCAGGAGCTTTCCTGCGTTGTAATAATCCCACTAAAAACAATTATTTTTAATGCTTACATGTGAATCCCTCACGATTTTCTTGAGCCGTGTTTTAACACTCCCTGTTTTCCAGTTTTGCTCCATCATATACCATTGCTCAGCTAAGTGTCGGGGAAAAAAAGACCCCCCAAATGAGGCTAGGCAGAGGCTGTCTCCTGGGAGCCCCACGGCAGCAAGGGAGGCAGGGACGGGGAAGAGTTACAGCGGAAAAAAGGAACGTTCTCACTGGAGGTTATTGGCTTGCGGGGTAAAAAAGAGAAATTGGCAGTCGTTAAACAAGTTCTGATGGTCTGGGCTTGTTGCCACAGGTTTCAGGGTCAGAGTTCCACCGTCATATGCGGTCTGGCCTTTGTCTCCGAATACTCATTCCCTCGGTGTGTTTACATCTGTGGTGTTCTTCAGAAAGCTCCCTGACCGCGAGCAGACTAATCTGGTGGCAGTCCCCCGATTTTCCCCTGGGCGTTCGTTGCTAAGGCTTTGAGTTCATGCTGTAAGCTCCCTTCCAGGTAGAATTGGGCCAATCATGTATATTCAGAACAGCAAGGTTGAGAGGGTACATTTGTTCTTGACAGACATCAGCCCTGCCATTTCTGTGTTTATAAGTCAACATCTAATTGGAAGTAAACTATAATCCGTGGTTACATTTTTTTCTGTTTACTGTTTTTAAAGCTTTTAAGTCATTTAGTCAGCATTTCTTCTTCGAGTTGTAAAGAGTCTTCTCATGTCCTGTTGGTTTGTGTCACCTCCTTAGCATTTTGGGGCCATGCTGGGGTTGTGTTCAGCAGATGCTCTTGTGACACAGCCCCTGACTTTCCCAGTTATCTTCTTGGCTCCCATGGAGGCAGGATCAGGTTCTATTCCGTGTGTGTGGCTGCAGACCTGTACAGCATCATAGGTCTCTTAATCCTCCTTGCCTCTTGCTTTTTTCCCGCTCTGTTTTGAAATATAATTTACGAAGTTCACCTGTTGAGAGTGTACAGTTCAGTGGTTTTTATTATATTTACAAGGTTGTGTAGCCATCACTGCAATCTTAATTTCAGAGCATTTTCATCACCCTCCAAAAAAACTTCATTTTTATTAGCCAGCACCCCCCAGTTGCCTTAATGCTCCATGTCCTGGAACCACTGATCTACTTTGTGTCTGTATTGGTCTCTTTTGGACATTTCATGTAAATGGAATACCATGAATAACCTTTGGTGTTGGACTTCTTACGCTCAGTATAATATCATCAGGGTTTGGCCGTACTGTAGCATGGGTCAGTACTTCATTCCTTTTTACTGCCAAATAATACTTCATTGTGTGGGTAGACCACATTTTATTTATCCACCCTTCATTTGATGGACATTTCGAGTTGTTTTGGCTTTTAGGCATAATGCTGCTCTGAACATTCCTGTACAAGTGTTGGTGTTGACATCTATTTTCATTTCTCTGGGATGCACACCTAGGAGAGTTCCTAGGTCATGATATAAGTCTACGTTTAAGTGTTTGAGGAGCTGTCAGACTGTTCTGCAAAATCGTGCAGCATTCTGTATTCCCACCACCAGCAGTTTCTCCACATCGTCACCAATAGTTGTTACCATCCGTCTTTGGTAGTAGCCATCCTAGTGAGTATGAGGTAGCATCTCACAGTGATTTTGATTTACCTTTCTCTGGTGGCAGATAATGTTGACCATCTTCATGTGCTTGTTGGCCATCTGTCTGGCTGTGCTTTTGACTTACAGAGTATCCTGTAGCTCAGTTGGACCCTCAGTTGGATCCTCTTCCTGCTGGGAATCCCCTGATGAAGATCAAAGTCGTTGAAGTCCTCACACTGAACCAAGAGGTAGCTCGTCCGCGAAACGCCCAGATCCGGGCCCTCTATGCTGAAGATGAGGGCCTGAGCCCAGATGTGCTCGGGGAGCCCACTCAACAGCTAGGCAAGCATCCAGCTGATCCCGAGGCCGCACGCCAGAGGTTCCGGGGCTTTTGCTTTGAGGAAGTGGCAGGGCCCCGAGAGGCCCTGGCCCGGCTGCGTGAGCTGTGCCGCCAGTGGCTGCGGCCCGAGGCGCACTCCAAGGAGCAGATGCTGGAGCTGCTGGTGCTGGAGCAGTTCCTGGGCGCACTGCCCAGGAAGCTCCGGATGTGGGTGGAGTCGCAGCACCCAGAGGACTGTCAGGAGGCAGTGTCCCTGGTGGAGGATGTAACCTGGATATCTGAGGAGGAAAGTAAGTGCAATGGACGGGTGGCGAGAGACACTCCTGTGGGGGCATCTGGGAGGATGGGGGAAGGAAGAATTAAGGCTTCCTGGGAGAGGTCGGGGAAGGGTCCTGCTCTCCTCCATTTAGGCCAAGGGCATCTGCCTCCTGAACATGTTCCTGAGTCAGAGCTTTAGACACTTCCTTGCTGAAGTACCTACCATTGTCTCTAGGTCAAGGGATCTGAGAGTGGCCTTATCCGTGGACCTATATATGGAAATGGAAAGTTTCAGGCCACACCTCACAGCTACTGAAACCTTTGGGTAGGATCTGGGACTACGCTTTAACCAGCCCACCCCAGACTTCTGAGAGAAGCTTACAGTTAAATCCTTCGTTTTCACCCTTTTGGGATCCCTGCTGTACTACAACTAATAGAAAACATGATTTTAGTCACTTAGGCATATTCCCAGAATGCATTCTTTTTTTTTTTTTCAAGATTTTATTTTTTTTAGGTAACTTCTACACCCAACGTGGGGTTCAAACTTACAACCCCAAGATCAAGAGTCACATGCTCTACCAATTGAGCCAGACAGGCGCCCCTCCCAGAGTGCCTTCCGATGTCATGCACTTGGTGGAGGATGTGGGTAAAGTGACCAAGACAGTCAAGATGTAGACTCATGAGCTCAACAAGCCTTAGGTCCAGCAGGAATGATGGGAATTTGACAAACAAATATGCATGTGACAATGGTGGGGTTGAGAAGAACTCAAGGGTGCTGGCGGGGCTCCTGGAAGCAAGTTGCTGTAGCCAACACCTGGTGTGGAGTGGAACTCAGAAGTGGGCAGGAAGGGGGCGCCTGGGTGGCTCAAGTCGGTTAAGCGGTTGACTCTTAATTTCGTCTCCGGTCATGAGATTGAGCCCCAAGGCAGGCTCCACGCTCAGCTGAGAGTCTGCTTCTCTCCCTCTCTCCCTCTCCAGCTCCCCTCTACCTCTCCCCCAATTATGCACATACGTGTTCTCTCTCTATAGCAAATACATAAATCTTAAAAAAAAAAAGAAGTGGGCAGGAGAGATGTGCCAAGCAGGGGAGTATCACCTATGAAAGCCCAAAATGGGAGCAATAACAGTATACTCCAAAATCAGAGAGAAATTGGGTAGGTCTATAGTAGAAAGGAGCAGGGGCAGGGCTGGCAGGGCTGTTGAAGAGATTTTCATGTTGTCCTAAAGCAATGAGAAGTGTTATTCTAAAGCAGTGGGAACCGATCCATGAGCCCTCCCTAGAGATATGTGACATGCTCTGATTGAGCTTTAAAGATTTACCAGGTTGCAGCTTGCTCTGGATGGTGGACAGAGAACAGGGTCAAAATGAGAAGCAGATTGGCCACCCAGAGTTGTCACCATGCCCTCCACGAGGTGTGGCTAGGGCAGGAGTGACGGTGGGGAGCTGAGATGGGAGTGTATGTGTAGGATGCATTTGGGGGTGAGATTGCATGAAACTTGATTTCTGTCAGGCTGAGTTCCATGGAACACGGACACTGCTTCCTTGCTTACCCGAATATGTAACCTCACACAGTGAAAGTGACTTTTCAAATGCCATTGATTAAACTGAGGATCTTGAGATGGGGAGATTATCCTGGATTATTTGGGTGGGCCCAAATGTAATCACAAGGGTACCTCCAAAGAGGCAGTCATGAACATTAGAGATGGAGAAGACATGTGACCGCGAAGCAGGGTGTCACAAGGAACGGCCAGAAGCCAAGTATTTTAGGTGTTCTCCAGAAACTGGAAAAGGTGAGGAATATATTTTCCCCCAGAGCCTCCAAAAGGGAGGTAGCCCTGCCAACACCTTGATTTTAGCCCAGTGAGGTTGGTGTCAGACTTCTAATCTCGTAATCATAAAAGTAATCATAAAAAATTGAATTTGCATTATTTTTAGCCACTGTTGTGGCAAGTTGTTACAAGCAATAGGAAACTGATAGAGATGCCAAGGAGACAGTTGTAGAGCTCATGAGATGAAAGCCAGTCGGTCTTACATTTTACACCTTGGGGGTGGATGGGAAATCAGTTAATATCACAGAGGACGGTGGGAAGAGGCTTTCCAGAGAACTCTGAGAATCCTGCATTTGTGATCAAGTTAGTTGGGGCTCTCGGTTGTGATTGCCAAGGGAGGAGAATTTACTGAAAAAGTCGCAGGGCGATCCTCAAGCTTTAGGCATGGCTGGACCCAGGAGCTCCTGCAGTGTCCTCGGGACTCCTCTCCTCTCCTCTGTCACACTTCTGCTGCCGGTGTCTGTCAGCTCACTCACAGGCAAGCTGTCTCCATGTGGGGGCTCCCTGCACAGAAGTTCTCTTTCCTCAGTGTTCCAACAAAAGCCTCTTGGGCTCTGATTGTCTAGCTGTGGGCCCTGTATTCATCCGTGAGCTAATCATTGTGGCCAGAAGGAAGCAGCAGCCTGGTGGGCCAGCCTGGGTCACATCACGTGTTCCCCTTGGTGGTGGGTGTGGAGTCATCACTACAGAAGCCCGTGGACCAGTTGGGGACAGATGAAGAGTCAGGCATGAAGGAGCTGTGATTGAAAGGGGGCCGCAAGGCCAGGTAGAACGGTTTTCTGAGGTGGAGGAAACTTGATAAAATTCTCATCAAGATGGGTGTGTGTTACAAGAATAGGTCCAGTCCTGGGAATCAGAGCAAGTCCCAATCTCCATGGAAAAGAGGGGAAGAGGAAGAGTGTGGAGTACCTGGAGACGAGAAATGGGGGCTTTGCTTCGGAGGACAGGTGTGAGGCCAGTCGCTGAGGCGGATGGGGAGATGAGGCAGGTGCCTCGGAAGAGGGACTGGGTCCAGAAGTTCTTGGAGAGGGCGGGAGACCGGGGTCTCAGCAGTGGGGACACCAGTGCCCTAGAGTCACATGGGGTGATGCACCCTGAGCTATCCAAGTGTGGGGATTTGGGCCGCGGGCTGTGAAGAGGAGCCAGAGTGGGGACCGGAGCTGCTGAGGAGAAGCGTGGGCACGGAAGCCCTCACAGCAGCAACAGCAGGATACGGTGTGTGTGCTGGCCCCATGGGTCCCAGAGAGAAACATGGCTGTCATTGCCCTGTCCTGGATGTAGCACCACACCTGGCTGACTCCTGTGTTAATGTCTCCTCCCAGCATTACCCGCCCAGGACCCCTCCTGCTCTCTCCAGACCACAGCTCCTCAGGAAGAAAAGGAGGAGAACATGACTACCTGGCCGGCGAAGGCACCACCTGAGGTGAGTGGGGAGTGCCACCCTTTCCTTCTCTGGTCACAGCGTCCCCTGTGAGGGGACCTCCCCCATACCCCATCTTCCACCAGCCAGGCCTTTCAGAGTTTCTGAGCGTGAAGGGCTGGACTGCCTTGCTGCCACCATGGAGACCAAGAAAGGGCACAGTGACTGGAAGTCAAGAAATTTGGAAGCAAAAGGAAGGGGCCAAGTGTTTATAGACACTTGGGAGCCCCAGGCAGGGGCATGCAGACCATGTCTGGATCTGGGTGAGAACAAGAGAGCCCTTGTCCTTCAGAAATGCATATTTAGGTGTTTATGACAGATAAAATGTCTGGGATTTGCTTCAAAAATAACCCAGAGCCAGGGCATAGATGAAACAGCACTATTCCTGTCTTGCTAACCATGGAGGCTCAGAGAGTGCGACTGAATGATGCTGTGTGTGGCATTGTCAGGATTCTTTCTGCTGCAGGTGGCTTACAACTGGCTCAAGCATAAGGTGAATTTATTGGCTCTCACATAATGAGTGGTCTGAGGTAGGCTTTAGGCAAGGCTATATTCAGGGGCTTCCCAGTGATGAGAGAGGAATGCCTGTCGAGTCCTGGTCTCATGGTTCTGCTTTCTCTCATTCGTTCTGAAGCAGGCTCTGCCCCTCAGGGGCAAAAGACCTCCCAGATCCAGGCAGAGTGCCATTGGGAGCCCTCTTCATGCCAGAGTTCTGGCCAGTTGCCCAGAAACGACTGATCTCAGTGCAGCCTCTGGCCACCCGACCCCGAAGCAGCCCCAGTCCACAAAGGCAGGGGCTGGTTCTAGCACATGTGGAGGGACTATTCCCAGGAGAAGGGGGGTGTGCCTAGTAGGGGGGCTCGTCTCAGGGGCGGTCTTCTGTGGGAAGTTGCAGGGAAAGGGTGAGCTGCATACGGGGTTGGGTAGAGTGGAGGCAGTTTGCTTATGGCGTTTGCAGCTCTTAGCGAAGCAAGGACTCTGCCTCCAGCCTGGGCCCCAGCCTCTGATTTTGTGAGAAGGGATTCTTTGGGCCCCTTATGGCCCAAGTCAGTGTGTCTAAGCAAACCCCAGAACAGGGGCATCCTCAGCACAGTGGGCTCTGTTGGGAGGCCCCAGTTGTCCTTCCTTCTGTCCCTGTCAATGACCCTCCTGCTGAGCAGGCACAGACTGTGGCATTACAGGAACCAGTGACCTTCCTGGATGTGGCCGTGGACTTCAGCAAGGAAGAGTGGGGGCTGCTGGACCTGACACAGAGGACCGAGTACCACGATGTGATGTTGGAAACCTTTGGACACCTGGTATCTGTGGGTAAGGCTGTGCCCATGCTGGCCACTCCATCCTTCTGGGACTGGGAGCACCAGAGGCCCTGAGTTTGGGCTCTTGCCTTCTCTGGGCCTGGTGTGAGAACTGGGCATGCCCTTGAGTGTTCCTTGCATGGTCCATGCCTTCAGCTGGCCCTGTGGCCCTAGAGGGGTGGGCATTGTGTGGACAGCAGCAGCCTCGTGTCCAGTGAAGGACTGACTTGCTGCCCACCTTGAAGGCATAAGAGGAGTCGGAGAGCCAGGAGAATGCTCCCAGTTCTAGCCCCGTTCCTGATTGCCAAGCTCATGTTCCTTTCTTTGTTGCTTCACTGCTTTTCATAGTTCCCCCAGGTTGTATGACTGTACTTGGGAAAAAAAACAGCTTTTGAATACTTGGTTATGTCATACTGTCAGCCCATTTAGCACTGTCTCTCTACTATATGCACACCTTTTGGGTACTTTCAGGGTGGGAGACTACACTGGAAAGTAAAGAGTTAACTACAAAGTCTGACATTCCTGAGAAGGAACCAGCCCATGACCTGAAAATGGAAGAATTCTCAAGGGATGACACCTGGTCCCCTACGTCAAGAGACGTCTCACAGGGTGAGGCCCAGGAAGTCTTGGACACAGCACTGAAGCAGGTGGAGCCAACTCAGGAAGAAACCCTCCCTCAGAAAAGCCCCCCATCCCGGGCAAACACTAGCCTTGTCACAAGCCATATTTCACTCCAGAAAACTCTCCCTAGAAAACGCTTGCGCAAGCGTGGCTCGCAGGTTAAGAAGGTGACGCGCGGTCCGTGTGTCAAAGTTCATCAGAAGGGCCACAAAGGGGAAAAAGCCAGAGAAAATAGTGGTTGTGGGAGAGCCTTCAGCCGGAGCGCTCAGCAGATCACATTCACAAGAATCCACAAAGGGAGCCAAGTTTGCCGATGCAGCGAATGTGGCAAAACTTTCCGAAACCCAAGATACTTCTCTGTACATAAAAAAATCCACACAGGAGAGAAGCCGTACGTGTGTCAGGACTGTGGGAAGGCATTTGTTCAGAGCTCCTCCCTCACACAGCATCAGAGAGTCCACACAGGAGAGAGGCCATTTGAGTGTCATGAGTGTGGGCGGACCTTCAATGACCGCTCGGCCATCTCCCAGCACCTGCGGACTCACACTGGAGCCAAGCCCTACCAGTGCCAGGACTGCGGGAAAGCCTTCCGCCAGAGCTCCCATCTCATCAGGCACCAGAGAACGCACACCGGGGAGCGCCCCTACACGTGCAACAAATGCGGAAAGGCCTTCACCCAGAGCTCACACCTCATTGGGCATCAGAAGACACACAGTGGGGTGAAATGCAAGAAGAAACAGCCTACCTCATAGCCCTCCAGCTGAGCCAGTTGAAGAGACAATGCCTTTTCAGCCTGATCCTGCAACGTAACACGAACAGACCTGGTTGGCATTCAGAACTGAATGTGAAAAGCAGCATTGAGTGATGATGTTCTCAAGACCAAAGGACAACCAGGGAGACCACCCTGCACATGAGTAAATAAGCAAATTGGTGGGGAGTTGTTGCTAATGAATATAGGTTGGAAAAACATTTAATTTTTCACTCACTTGATTTGCCATTATAATTTGTTTGCTCATTTGGTCATTAAAAATGATACTCGTGAAACCTGAAAATGCTTATAATGTAAGTTTGAAAAGCCAGGTACCAAAAAGTCTGTGCACTGATATTATATTTGTGGTAAAGTATTTATGCATATGGACAAGGACTGAAAGAGAACAGGATAAATAAACTATTTCTGTGATAGAATCTCTTTTTACCACCTATTAAATATTTTTTCATTAATAATCTGATATTTAAAGTAAGCAGCATTAAAACAAAATAGATTGTCAGACCAGTTCTAGAAGACTCCACGCAAGGCTGCAGTCCCTCCGGCCCAAGATTCCAAATGAGTTAGGATGAATGGCTCATTCTGATCCTTAGAACATCATCAACATGCAGGGAATGTTAGGTTCAGGGAATGGAAATCTTGAACAACCACTGGAGACCTAGTGGGAAGGAAACTCCAGGCCAGCGTGGGAAATTCCCAGGAACGTTCATTCGATTCACATTTCCACTTTTCCTACAGGACTCCTTCAAGGGAAGGAACTACCCTGGCCGGATGCTCATCACCAAGTTGAGCAGCAGGAAACTGGCAGCATTAGGGCATGTGTTTGATGCCCGCATTTCATTTTTTTACGTGAAAGGACAGATTAAAATCATTTCTCCCGGTCACACAGCCTGTAACCTGCAGCCCATCCCACCCCTTGCTCCACAACTTCACCTCTGCTCGCGAGTTGTGCGTAATATTTCAAAACGTGTTCTAAAACTCTGGGTCAGATATTGAACTTATGCTCATCAGATATTGGTTGACTGCTGCTGAGCACGCCTCTTAAGAGCCCTTGGGCTCATGCTGACAAGGGTGAGGCACAGTCATGCCTTCTGGAGTGAGAGTGTCTCGCTCCTTTCTCTACAGAAGTGAATAGCCCCTGGAGACAGACTAGTGGGGCCAGGAGGCCAGGTGCCTGGAGAATGTTGATGGCACACCAGCTGTCCTGTTGCCCTTCATGCATCAGGCACAGGGCACAGGGCTGCTGTATCACATTTAAACATCTTCACATGTTAACTTCTTTGAGAGATTAAACATACAGGGGCTGAAGAACTTACCAGGGCCTGCTGCCCTCCCACTACACAGTTGGCAGATCTTTCTAGGGGAGACAGAGCAGTTTTCAGTGGAGAACATCAGTTCCTTTTCCAAGTCCTGATGATGTAGGGATGTCTGTTCACCTTGGGAGTGGCCTCACAATGATGCCCACTGCCCACTAGTGAAGGCCGCAGCCATGTCCTCAAACGAGGTCAGTTCATCCTGAAACGTCATACACTGATTTGTTGCCAGAAGGTGGTCACTGAAGGAGGTGAGCTGACTGCTTTCACATCTGTGGTGGTTTCAGATACGGCTACAAATGCTTTGCCTTTCCTCCATTCCTAGAATCTGGCTGGGCTGGTGACTGCTTCCATCCATAGGGTTGGCAGAAGTCAAGCTGTGTAACTTCCATGAGATGAGGTCATTAAGGATGCTGGGGTTTTCTGTTTCCTCAGGGAAACGGAAGTGGTGTTATCAGCTGAAACTGTGACAAGGGCACATGATGTTGAGTGGTGAATGAGGAGAGGAGAAATCATCCCCTCGGGGTGAACAGAGGAGGGTGAGCTTGCCTAGCAGCTCATCCAGGGACCCTGAGGTTTGGGGTCATTTACTGAAAGGGACCAAATTTGAAATCCAGGTGACTGCTTTAGAAGGCCAGAGAAATTCATCTCTGAAGTGAAGGGAAGAGTTCCCACTTCCCTTAAAGTGGGATGAGATGATGCAGGATTTGAATATATGAAGCTGGTGGTTTCCCATCTTTTCCCACCCACACATAATTCATATCAGCAGCACCCACCATTACATTCACGAGTTTGCCATTAGGGCTCAGTGTCTCTGAATCTCCTGGGGGATCATGGGAGGCACAGTGACAGCCCCACAGGTGTCCACTGCTGGTCCCCAGAACCTGTGAAAATGGTGCTTCACATGGCCAGAGGGACTTTGCAGATGTGATCAATTATGTTACGATTTTGAAACAGGAAGATCATCCTGGATTATCCCCATGGGCCCAATGTCATCACAAAGGTCATTATAAGAGGGAGACAGAAGGGTATGAATGAGTAAGAGAGGAAGATATAACAAAAGCAGGGATTGGAGTGATGCAGGGCCATAAGCCAAGGAATGCGAGTGGCTTCTAAAAGCTGGTAACGGCAAGGAAATGGACTCATTTTCTAGTGCCTTCAGAATGAACACAGTCCTGGAGACATCTTGATTTCAGCCCAGTGATAGACTTCTGACCTCCACGATGGTAAAATAACAAATCTGTATTCAAGCCACTAACTTTGTGGTAATTTGTTTCTGCATTGATAGCAAACTAAAACATGGGGTATACATGATTTGCAAGTTTCTACCAATGGGTGCTGATCTGTGCCATAAGGGATGGTGTATCTCAATGGGAAGCACTGGATCTGCTGGAGGTTATAGGGGCAGACACTGTGCCTGGGGTTGGCAACCCAAAGGGAACTAGTGGTTTGATTCTAGTGGAACGAATCTCAGTTCTTACAGAAATGTGGAGATTGGTTAGGTAGGAAAAGTCTAACAGTCTGGATAAGTAGGACGATCGGACTTTTTTTGTGAGCTTGGGACAAGGACTGTTCTAGAAAAGGATGCAAATGTGACATCTGGGGGAGAGGCAGCTGCACTTACAGAAATGGATGAGGTAGAATTATGAGTCATCTGAAGGCTGGAGAAAACGGCCCAGTTCACAAGCTGAGACCTGGCTTTTCTCAGAGCCTCGGATCACAGAACACAGAAACAACCACCCTTATTACTCTTCAAAGCTGGCATTTAATGACAGCCAACAATCTGGACCACCGTCAGAGCCCCTGCTTCGTTTCAGTATCTTCTTAGGGCGCACAATAACCTTGCCAGGCCAGCAGTATTCTTCCTGATTTGTGGGTGAACAGAAGGAAACTCAGCAAGTTGTGCAAAGGGACAGAAGTAGAAGTGGCAGAGCTGGGAGATGTACATGCTTTGGGTCACTTGCTCAACAAGCAGTCCTTGAATGCCTGGAGAAAAAAATTCAAAGCCCACATGAGAATCATCCACCTGCTCATAGGGGCTTCAATTATACTTAGAAAAATATGTCCGATGGAAGATCATAGAAGAGGGGCACCTGGGTAGCTCAGTTGGTTAAGTGTCTGCCTTTGGCTCAGGTCATGGGATCATGCCCTGTGTCGGGGTCCCTGCTTGGTGGGGAGTCTGCTTTTCCCTCTGCCTCCCCCTCACCCCCGCTTGTGCTCTCTCGTTCCCTCTCTCAAATAAATAAATAAAATCTTTAAAAAAAAAGGTCTGAAGAGAACAAAGACATTTCAGTGTGAGCAAGGTACTGTAAAAGAAGAAACATAATTTAAAACCTATATGCAACTAAAAAATGGCACTTAAAACCAAAATCAATTTGAGATACAAGGAGAACTTGATTAGAGCAAAGAAAAGAAAAAGCAACTGTGGAGAAGGAATTTAGTATGTTGCCTTCGGAATCAGACATATCTAGTATATGAAATAAACACTGAAAAATTGAATAAATATTCAATTTAATAGGTGTATGTAGGATTTTTGTACTCTATGGTTTCAAGAATATATGTGTGCTTAATCACAAAAAACTTAAATATTAAATATAAATTTTTATGGGTGACATATCTGATCATAAATTAACAGAAGTATGAGTGAATAATAAAAAAGTATAGGTGAATAATAATATTATAAAATTATCTTAATTTCCTGAGCATTAAGAAATAACTTCCAAACTAATCCTTGAACCAAAGAGAAAATAAAATCAGATTATTAACTACCTTAAAAAAGAGAACACGGAGTTCCTGGGTGGCTTAGTCTGTTGGGCATCTGACTCTTGATTTCAGCTCAGGTCATGATCTCAGGGTTGTGGGATCAAGCCCTGCATCAGGCTCCGTGATCAGCAGAGGGTATGCTTGAGATTCTCTCTTCCTCTCCCTCTGCTCCTCCCCCGGCACTCGTGCATGCATGTGTGCACTCTCTCTCAAATAAATAAATAAATCTTTTTTTAAATAACAAAAACGAGAACACAACAAAATAAATGGTGCACAGCTAAGCTGTATAACAGGAAAAATTACAACCTTGGTTGTATTATTAAAGTAGAATTATCAAAAAGAATATTTTACTTTAAGGAATTGGAGAAACAGTAATAATAAACCAAAAATGAAACAGAAATGTATCAAGTTAATTGAGATTAAAGCCAAAGTTAATGGAGAAAGGAAGAGTTAAGATAATAGATAAACCCCCTCAGGAGCCTGATTCAGAAAACAAAATTATAAATGAGAAAAAAGATAACCTCGGGTACAGAAAAGATGAATTATAAGAACTTACACAGAACTATATGGACATTTTCCTAATATAAATACAACAAAAGTGACCCAAGAAGCAGCAGAAAACTAAAATAGAATAATTATCATGGAAGTGACATGGACACAAAGCCCAGGAGACTTTATAGCTGACTTTAAATCTAACACTAACTATTCCAAATTGTTAAATAACTCCACATCAAAACAAAATGGACAGCTTCATAATGAAGATAACATAATACCCCCATCTGATAAAGATGGTATAAAAAATTTATCATTCAGACTCATCTATGAATATATGTTGAAAATATTTTAAAAAGAAAAGAATTTAATCAAACCAGCAGTGTATCTAAAGAAAAACACTCTGACCAGTTTATTTCAGGAATACAAGAAGGCTTCAATTTCAGAAAATTTACCCATAAAGTTTATTCAACAGTCTAAAGAACTCATGCCCAAGAAAAACTATGAATAATCAACATGGGATGCCTTTCAGCTGGACTTCCCTGTTAGACATTCTATAATTCATATTGGAGAGGAACCCCATGAATGTCATGAATGTGGTAGAGCTTTTGGTAGGACATCTCAGCTAATTAGGCATCAGAAAACTCACACTGAAGAGAAAGTATTCTGTTGTAATTAGTTTGGGAAATCTTTCAGTCACATCCTTGATTTTAATATTTATCAAAGAAAGCATAATAGAGGGAAGCCTTATGAGTATAGTCAATATAGGAAATCTTTCAGAGCTCTGGCTTTATTTCACAGCAGAGAACTCACATTGAAGAGAAGCCTTATGAATATATTCAGTGTGGGAAATACTTCAGTCGGAGTTCTCACTGTTACTCATCAGAGAATTCATACTGAAGAGAAACTGCATGAGTATCCTCAGTGTGGAAAATCTTTCAGCTGGAGTTCTTATTAGGGCATAGAGAACTCACACTGGAGAGCAATCTCACGAGTGTCACAACTGTCCAAAATCTTTCAACTAGAATTCTCACTTTATTGAATATCAAAGAACTCATATCGGAGAGAATCCCTATAAATGTAATCAATGTATGCCAGCTAGCTTTACCCTACCTTAAAGGGCCAGGGAGTGGGGGGACAGAGTGGGACAAATCCAGTGTTGTTAATACTAGAGCAAAATTAAAAAGTAGCAATTTGATGTTATACAGGATTTTTTTTTAAGATTTTATTTTTTTTTGACAGACACAGCAAGAAAGGGAACACAAGCAGGTGGAGTTGGAGAGAGAGAAGCAGGCTTCCCGCGGAGCAGGGAGCCCGATGCGGGGCTCGATCCCAGAACCCTGGGATCATGACCTGAGCCGAAGGCAGACGCTCCACAACTGAGCCACCCAGGTGCCCCTATACAGGATTTTTTTTTTTAAGATTTTATTTATTTGAGAGGGAGAGTGAACAAGCAAAAGCACAAGAGCAGGGGAGGGAGAAGCAGACTCCCTGCTGAGCAGGGAGCCCAAAGTGGGGCTTGATCCCAGCATACTGGGATCATGACCTGAGCCAAAAGCAGCCGCTTAACTGACTGAGCCACCTGGGTGCCCCGCAGGATTTTTTTTTAGTTGAATATGATTGCCATTATTTTCATTACTTTATCCACCTGAGACAGGGCCGTAGTCCAAGACTAAGGTTCCATTGTCCTTCCATCTCAACCTTTCTGAGTAGAAAGATTGGGGAAGAAAGCCCAAGTTAAAATAAGTTGTTCTTGGGGAAGAAGGGGTCAGGCCCTCAGAGAACACATCCAGCTCTGGAGGGAAAGTGGTGATGTAACCAGTCCAAGCTTGTTCCACTCATAGTGGAACAGGTCAATAAGTGGAGAGGCAAGATGTTGGGGTAAGGAAAGTGACTTTATTCAGGAATCCAGCAGACTGAGAAGATGATGGACTACGTCCTAATGAACCATCTTAACTTAGCATGAAATATGAGCTTTTGTAGCCCAAGCTCCTGGGTGGTCCTAACAGACCAGGTTCGCCCACTCAATGCCAACAAAATCCAAAGGCAGAGAGACAGGTGGTGCTGAAATAAGAAAGAAATTTATTTCAGTGAGGCCAACCCCAGGAAGACAGTGTACTAATGTCTCAAAGACTATTCCCAAAATGCTGAAAATACTTCCACATTTATAAAAGGAAAATGTGGGGCAAAGGTGGGTGGGTATGTGAAGGTAGGTAGGCACTGATGGTCAAATCAATCACTATCTTGGGGTCAATCACAGGTGGGGTTTTGCTGGCTCAGGGCAGTCCTTATTATTTGAGGGAGTAGCTTTGGTTCCCTTCAGGGGATGCTTTGCCTTCAGGTTCTTCCACTTGAGCCAAGAGATAAGTGGAAAGAAGAACCCAACTAGAAAGTCTGAGATCACAATGGAGGGAGCCGAGGTCCTCTTTCATTTTTATGTTAAGAGGAGGAATTGGGAGGAGTTGGAGAGGTGACTTATCTGTAAACATTTAGGTGCCAACAAGGATCCAAAGGCTGTGAAACTGTCACCAGCTAGACCCCAAGATCTGACCTTTACTGCTCATCTGCTTGTATGCACCGACCTTTATCCCACATTTTTCCTTTAGCTCACCTTTCCAGCTCATCTTTTAAGCAAAAGACCCAAGGGGCGGGTGCCTGGGTGGCTCAGTCGTTAAGCGTCTGCCTTTGGCTCAGGTCATGATCCCAGGGTCCTGGGATCAAGCCCCGCATCGGGCTCCCTGCTCGGCGGGGAGTCTCCTTCTCCCTCTCTCACTGTCTCTCTCTGTGAAATAAATAAATAAATCTTTAAAAAAAAAAAACAAAAAAGCTCTACATCCAACATGGGGCTTGAACTCACAACCCCAAGATCAAGAGTTGCACGCTCTATGGACTGATCCAGATAGGCACCCCAAGGTCACAAATATTTTGTTCCAGGGTGCCTGGGTGGCTCAGTCGGTTAAGCGACTGCCTTTGGCTCAGGTCATGATCCTGGAGTCCCGGGATCGAGTCCCACATCAGGCTCCCTGCTCAGCGGGGAGTCTGCTTCTCCCTCTGACCTTCTTCCCTCTCATGCTCTCTCTCTCTACCATTCTCTCTCTCTCTCAATAAATAAAATTCTTTATAAAAAAACAAATATTTTGTTCCAATTGATCAACAAGGACAAATAGTTCAGCTAATCTTATGAGACAAAGGATGGGAAAGTGTCTGGCCTTATCCTAGATAAACAAGGGTGTTATCTGGGGTCTTATCTAATTCAAGTGGGGAATGGTGGGTTTGCAGTAATACTTTTCCAGGAACATAAGGCTGGGGAGATTTCTTCCACTGCTGCTGTTTTCCAGGAATACAGGGTGGGGTAAAGTTCAACATTCTCACAGGAAAGAAAGATGTTAACAGAAATGTATCATCAGGGGCATAATGGGGATGAGATCATCAGAATTGGAGGCTATACTTAGAGATTAACATTTTCTCAAAGAGGGCATAACAACATCTGAAGTCCAGCTGGCTGACAAGTCTTCTTAGCCTTCTGCAGCTTTACTGGCAAAGGGGACATCCTGGCTCTCATCTCACTGGGGTTTTTCTACCTGCATTGAGAAGAGCCAATGGCAGAAATTCCATTCACAACACCAAGAGAAAGAAAAGCAGGTTTAAGAAGCTAAAAACTCACAAAATGGGAAGAAAAAGGATGAGTGAGCAATGCCCTATAAGGGAGTGGTGCCCTCTGGAATTGTGTGAGGGGCTGTCCAATTGGATAATTAATGTCAGAGTGATCTTTTGTTCTTGGAGCTGGAAATACATCCAAACCTAGGAGGCCCAGCTGGGTCAAAGGAGAGTTAATCAGCAGCGTTCCATCCCGTCCCAGGGTGAGATGCTCTGGGCTGCTTCTGCCTACAACCTTCCCTCCTGTGTGTGAGGTGGAGTGGTTCCTGACACTGGCACCAACACTCAGCCTGAACACCCTGACTTTGAGGGCTCCAGTTAAGGGTTCCTCTTGGCAGCAATGAGGAAATTGAGGTTCCAGGAGAAAAGGAGACACAGCTGAGACCAAACCAGGAGTTGAAGGACTCAGTCTGGTCTAAAACTGACAGGTAGTGGGGAAAACCCAAGCTCTGGAGTGAGATGGTCTCAGTTCAAATCTCAGCTTTTCCACTTAACAGCTGTGCCACCTTGAGCTAGTTACTTAACCTCTCCTGTGCCTCAGTTTTTCTAGCTATTTCACAGGGAAGTTAAGATAGTGTCTATCTTGGGGCGCCTGGGTGGCTCAGTCGGTGAAGTGTCTGCCTTCGGCTCAGGTCATGATCCCAGGGTCCTGGGCTCGAGCCCCGCATCAGGTTCCCTGCTCGGCGGGGAGCCTGCTTCTCCCTTTCCCTCTGCTGCTTCCCCTACTTGTGCTCTCTTGCTCTGTCAAGTAAGTAAATAAATAAATCTTAAAAAAAAAAATAGTGTCTATCTTACAGGATTGCTGAGAAAAGTACTGAGTTAATACATGTGCTTTACAGGGCTGACAGTAGGTCCTTAATCTATTGCTACTGTCATTACTATTATTATTATTAGCTCCT